TGTCAGATTTAAGCTGGTAATAATGGGATCTCACAGTGAGCCCTTGGAGAAAGTTTAACTCCGAGCAGGAGCCGACCGGAATACGAATCAATGGAATGAGAGACCCTCAATATCACTGAGAAACACTTCGCTCAGTGAGCTCTCGGTACCACCGGCACCAGCGCGACTCAGACAGACATGCAGATCCAGCAGTAAAGACCACAAAAGCTGTAAAGGCCAAAGTACACAACTCCATTACATGAGAGAAAGTATAGTCTTGTATGTTAGTCTATTTACAGTCATTTGGAGCAAAGGTTTAGATGCCCCTGGTCAAGTTGCATGTTTTGTTGATTTTCTAAGTAAAAATAAGTTAACACATTCTATAGAGAACACACTTATGCGCATTTTAGTGCACGATTACTGTTGCTGAATTTAACAGAGTGGGAAAAAAGTAAGACATGAAACACAGCCTGCACCAAAGGCACTGTCGTGTTCTATGAGTCTGGTGGTGGTGTTCCCCAGGGGTTTGTACTGGGCCCAAATTCAGTAGTTTGATCAATTGGGATGCTCCTCGCTTTCATATCAGGAAAATAATACCAAAGCACTATAATGCACCTGATTATAGGCATATGCTTGGGGAGGCTACAGTTTCACCTGTAATCTGCATCTGCATGTGCCAGATGGAGGGGTTTATCATGACTTCATTATGGATGTTAATTTTAATAGAACTTCATTCTGGATATTCCTTTTATTAGAGCTTCATTCTGGATATTTTTTCATTCATTTTGGATATCAAATTTCAACTTTGTGGATATTTTGCACATTGATTTTTTGAAAAGCTTTATTAGAACCTAATTCTGTATATTAATGGATTAGAAATTCATTCTGGATATTCCTTTTATTAGAGCTATAGTCTGGATTTTTAAAAATTAATTTTGGATATCAATATTTTTTGTGGATATTTCGCATATTGATTTTTTGTAAAGCTTTATTAGTTATATCAGCATATTATAACTTCATTCTGTATATTAATGTATTAGAAATTCGTTCTGGATATTCCTTTTATTAGAGCTTCATTCTGTTTTTTGTTTTAATTAATTTTGGATAGAAATTTTATTTGAACTTTTTTGATTTTTATAACTGTATATGAATTCATTAGAAATTCATTCTGAATATTAAATTATTAAACCGTCATTCTTGATGTTCTACAGGTTGGTCAGTCATTTTCAAGTCTTCTACGGCTCTGTCCATTATTCTAGAAACCTTTCTTCATTGTTTACACTTTCATACATGTCGTTCAAACTGTTGTAAAGATAATTTCTGTTTTTGAAAAAATGCCATAAATGCTGTAATCATCATTACACTAATATCACTAGAATTTCATATACATGTATATATGTAAGTGCTCAGTTCTCATTTGGGGTACGCAGTGCCGCTCTGCTGTTTTTTGGATTTTCGGAGGATTGCAGTGCCTCTGCAGGATCGCTTTTGCTTTTCCTTTCCCTGCCGCCGCCGCAGAAGTAGATTAAAGTTACTCACGCCTCACTTCATCTGAACAACTCTCATTCATTGGCCTGGATGGGAACCAGAGGAATAATGTAAAGTCTCAGTAGCAGAACCACAAACAGGATTTTTCTCAGTGCTCAGTCAGAGCTGCTGGACAGAAAGAGCCACTGTTTGATTTAGCAAAGAAAAAAAAGAAGGAATAATACATTTATAGCCGTGACAAAGCGCCTGCTTCTAGACGAGCCTGTTTCAGCTCAGGGGATCAAATTCATAGGCAGAAAGACAGAGACCAGCACTTAAAGCAGCAATACATACTCAAATCCATCATTTAATATGCAATAAATAACCCCTCTCTTGTCTGGCACGGTGAGTAGTGCTGCAGAAAGCAGAACAGCGGAACTAGAGAACAGGGAGATTGCGTAGATCCTGGCTGTAAACAGCTGGAGCTGCACCCAGCCGGAACGGACAAGGCTGGCACAGTTGTCCGTCCGTCCATCCGTCCATCCTTCCGTCCTCGCCGTCTACACTTCCTTTCTTCCCTCCTTTAATTCCGCGTCCGCCAGTGTTATCGACTTAATCTGCTTTTAATTAACTTTGTATAAAAAAAAAAACAGGAGCACTGAGAGAGCTGAGACGCTCTGAGCTGTTGTTAAACAGAGAAGGAGGGGGGCGAAGGAGGGGGGCAGACAAAAGAAAGAGAAGAGGAAGCAAAGAAAGACAGAAGGAGAGGAGGGGCTGGGGGGGGGGTAGTAAAACCGGAGGAAACAAAAAACAAAGAAATGCAAGGCCTCGTGGGAACGCAGAGAGAAACAGGGGAAGTCAATGAAGATGGCAAAGTGCCAAGGACACGTTCTGCTGTTAGCATCAGGTAAACGGCAGCTCATTCCACAATTACACTATTTCTGTCGATCAAATATACAATTTATCCCCCTTATTATTGCAAATGTAGTCAATCAGACCAGACGTGTTTGGTGTCTTTAGTTTTAGCACTAGAGCTGTGAGGCTAATATAGCCTCGAGGCCAAAGTTCATAGGTAACAGAGAGTCAATACAGCATCAGAAACAACATAATCAAGTCTATTAGAGATTATTTAAATCAAAACTGACCCTTTTTCAATTTGTTAGTTTGTTTTCCTGGTCATATCAAACATGATGTGATATGATTATCATATAATACCATTTAAAAGACTAAATTCTTGTTTTCTTGTAATCGTCCATCAAAATCTAATGACTTTTGCGCCAGCTCTTAAACATCTTTAGATTTTTTTAATTATTTTGATTATTTTGATAACATTGACATGGACCAGTGGGTGGGGCAAATAATATTAACTAATATTAATCAATAAAATCAATTTTCACCTCCAGCAAAAAATAGAAATTGACCTTGATATTTTAAGTTAATAATCAAATATTTGTTCCCTTTAACTTTGTTGTCAGATGAACTCTGTGGAGCTGCTAGCGAGCAATGAGGGACAAATGGAGGGGTGAGAACCCCCAGCTGTGAAAAACTGATCACACCTTTTCCCAAAGACGGCAATGACAAGATAAAATGGACAGCTGCAGCAAACAAACCCGTATAAACTGTCTTATTAAATAAACAGCACTTAAACATAATAATAATAATAATAATAATAATAATAATAATAATAATAATCATAATAATAATAATCATAATAAAACACTTCTTGACTTCCTCGCTCACCTACGAAGACGAAAGTTTCCAGTTTTGCCAATCAGATACATCAGAATACATTCTGTCAGCATTATTGAAGACTGAATGTGTGATGATTTAGCATGCTGCTAATTGGTGGACTATAAGCCTCCATTAACCTGTTACCTCCAGTGCTAAGCTAAAGACACAAACATAAACCAAAACCATTTTAAATACCAAAATGCTGCATGGCAGACAAACCTCGAGCAACTATCTCTCAAAGTGAATACTTTCTCTTTCATATCTGGACCTAGTTAGAGACTTCATGTTTCGGTATGGATGTTTGTGGTGTGTGTAGTGATCTTCTGGAGCCATAAGATGCACTTACAGATGCAGTAGCCGATTAGGTTATAGACATTATGTAAACTGGAAACGTAGCAATGGCCCGAGGAAAAAATATGGCCCTCGCAGAGAGACGGAGCGAGCGAGAGAGATAAGGAGAGTTATGAGGAAAATGGCAGCCAAGAAACACTCACTCATCAGCTGAAGCCACCAGGATCTGGTGGAATTTGACGGGATGACGACAGAGCCAGAGCGGAAGAGCGGCCAAGCCGTCCCTGGACCCGCATTCACAGCATCCATGACTGAGTGACACAATCCACATCCAAACCTCTGATAGCCCCTTAGCGCTGGCCAGGAGGCTAATGCAGCCCAGGCTAATGCAAGGCCTGGACAGTGGCCAGTGGGCCTGAACAGCACAAATCCTCCTCTGAGATCTAAAGCAGGACTGATACTGCAGCGAGCTCAGCCTCATCCGCATCAACAGACATGGGAAACACTTGATATTCATCTCCAGCTATTTCTGTAATGAATCAATCTATTGACTATTATACGATTAATTGACTAATCAAACCATTATCTCTTCTGGAACAACACCACCAGCATTTATTACACAATTTTGTCCTTCATGAAAAGTAGAAGCCATATCGCCCCCTACACTTCCTGTAGTGTATTACAGTCTGTCAGAATGACTGTGTGGATCATATGAACATTATAGAGGCTTTTTAAATGAAACAGTAGAAGCCATATCGCCCCCTACACTTCCTGTAGTGTATTACAGTCTGTCAGAATGACTGTGTGGATCATATGAACATTATAGAGGCTTTTTAAATGAAACAGTAGAAGCCATATCGCCCCCTACACTTCCTGTAGTGTATTACAGTCTGTCAGAGTGACTGTATGGATCGTATGAACATTATAGAGACTTTTTAAATGAAACAGTAGAAGCCATATCGCCCCCTACACTTCCTGTAGTGTATTGCAGTCTGTCAGAGTGACTGTGTGGATCATATGAACATTATAGAGGCTTTTTAAATGAAACAGTAGAAGCCATATCGCCCCCTACACTTCCTGTAGTGTATTGCAGTCTGTCAGAGTGACTGTGTGGATCATATCAACATTATAGAGCTTTTTAAATGAAACAGTAGAAGCCCTATCGCCCCCTACACTTCCTGTAGTGTATTACAGTCTGTCAGAGTGACTGTGTGGATCATATGAACATTATAAAGCAGTCAAAACCATCAATAATCTCAGCTCTAATCACAAACCACCCTTACATACACACATAGTACATGACAGCACCTAAGATAATTGCAAACATTTAACTCTCCCCTCAATGCCAAAGTTGAACCAACATCACACCACTGCAGAGCTTGTAAAGCGCTAAACTGATGATAGAATCTACAAAAACGAGAGGCACATTTGAATCCTCTGCAGCAGAGATTAGGTGAGAATGAGCTACATTAAAGCCGGTGAGTAAGCCCTCCATGCTGAGCCTCCTGCTGAGGCCGTTTACCGTTTCTTACCTTTCATGCCGAACTTGGAGCGTCTGCCATATTTGTTAATCAGCACAAACATGACGAGGAGGAGAACACAGGCAAATCCAGCCAAGCCCACCGCGATAGAAACCTACAAACACATAACACACAAACACAAACATTACCACACTTTTATTTAGTCCTGCAACTATGAATTATGTCTATAATTGCTGTTATTTGATAAACTGCATAATTTAAACATTAGTTCCTCCCCTTCTGGTTCAGTGAAACAGCGTTAGCACCATATCACCCTCTAGACCTCCTGTAGTGTATTGCAGTCTGTCAGAGTGACTGTGTGGATCATATGAACATTATAGAGCTTTTTAAATGTAACAGTAGAAGCCATATCGCCCCCTACACTTCCTGTAGTGTATTACAGTCTGTCAGAGTGACTGTGTGGATCATATGAACATTATAGAGTGCTTTTTAAATTAAACAGTAGAAGCCATATCGCCCCCTACACTTCCTGTAGTGTACTACAGTTTGTCAGAATGACTGTGTGGATCTTGTGAACATTATTTGAGTGTTTTAAATATGTTTTCATACATTTATTTCATGTTTCATACAAATTTTCTCATTAACCAATGTTGCCATGTCAACCGGTTTAGAATGATATAGAGACCTCTGTAAAAGTCACCAGGTTTGTGGAGGTTCAAAACTCCAAAATAAAAGATAAAAGACCTTTCAAAGCTCAAAAGTCAAAAGTTTGAACACATCTTCTCATGAAGGCAAGGGTTAAACTTACAGTGATAATATCTAAAATATGAAATAACACATAGAATTATACAGAGACCAAAACATCAAAGACATTGAGGCATTGAAACATGGAAATGTGTTCATATATAGAAACATTTTCATCTATGTACTTTATCAGATTGTAGATTTTAGGAACATCCAATCCAAGATTGGTCTAAACCTTTGACTGATACTGTACTTGTACACATGAATCACAATCCTGCTGGAATGCACACATAAAAATTGATGGACGGCATTTTAATGTGACAGCTCAGTGTCAGGATTCACTCACTTAAACGAATAATATGAAGTATTTACTGAAAAAACAAAGCATTATAAGGACACTTTGAAGCTCAAGCTTGTTCTAAAAAGGCTCATTTTCTTTCTCTGACAGAGTAATTTAGTCCAAGGTCAAGCGTAATCCGTGTCCAGAACAGCAGCAGGCTGAAAGGTGTGTGTGAAAAGGTGGCAGTGTAATCCTGCCAAACAAGCCCACACTCACACATTCACACACCCCGAGAAAAGGAAAGCGAGAAAAATTCTTCTGTTGGCAAACCGCTGAGCACTTCATCAGCTCGGAGAAAAACAGCGCACACGTCCAGAGCGATAAGGCTAACAGTAACGGGCTCTGAGCGGCGAGAGCACCCTATTGCTAAACACACACACACCTACACACACACACACACACACACACACACCTACACACCTACACACACACAGTCAGCAGTGTGTGAGGGGATTAGTCTGATTCACACACTTCCGGCCCGTTTCTATAGAGATATTTTAATGCTCCGGTCGGCGGCCAAACAAGATTAAATGAACTTTCCCTCCACGGTTGATTGAGCAGAAAAGTGGCGTGAAAACTTTTATTATTCAAACCCTCGGCCTCTAAATGGACTTTAATAATAGGCCCTCGACAGCGCTCAGGTGGAAGGCCGCGGCGAATGGAAATGTAAAATCTGACAAATAAATGTTTGCTCGCTCACCACAGGGGCTCTGTCCACACCTAGACAGATGTTTTGAGAAGGAAAAGTTTTTTTCTCTGTCTTTTAGCCTCCTTTTCATGCCATTTTAGGTCACTGAAAAAGAGCTGGCCTACATTTTTCTTGCATTCGAATTTTCTGTCTGAAGTCTACTTAGGACATTTGTGTGGTTTTATGTACCAAAAATAATCATAATTCATTTTTTTATGAACGTTTACTGACCTTGTTTTATCCCTTAGAATTAAACATGCCGTCTCAACACTGATACACGTAAATGAGCTCTCTTCTGATTGGCTGTGCCTTGTTCAAAAAGCAATCTGAAACATTCCTCATACCTTCAGTGTGAGTGGGGGGGCTAAACTGCTGGCTGAATATACAGGAAGATGTAAATGTGTCTCAAAAACAAATTGAAAAGTGGCTGTTTTTGCAGCTTAGTTTTAAAATATGGTCTGTATGGACTGAAGCGTTTTTTGTGTCCAAGTCGATTATTTGCCCAAAAAATAATTTAATAAATATATGACATAGACCAAGTTATTCAACATTCCCTCTTTTATGACTTTTATGTGATTTTCTGTGTCCTGTTAAAAGTTTCTTTTTGCCTCTAAAAGTCTACAAATGTCAGGTGGTGCAACTGTCCATCCAGATATGTTGATTGAGTAAACTATCAAAAAAAGGTGATTTAGTTACATAAGTGTCAATAAAACACTTTGGCATGACTTTAAAATAAAAACCATGCTGCAACATAAGGCAAGTTTAAAAGCGCTCAACTCACTGAAAAAACTTTTTTCTCAAGTTGTTACTGCCTCAAATGTCAGGCGACGCAATCAAAAGTAAAGGACTTTTATTCTGATATGCTTTTATAAAAGAGGGACAAGTGGGCTGCATCATAAAGAAGACCCCAAGTGACCTTTATGGTGCAATGCTAATGTCAGTAGCCCTTTCAAAAACGTGATTTTTGAGTCCTGGTTAGAACGGTTCAGTTTACCATGTCAGGCAGTCTGACCTCAGGAGAACCATGAAAATGTGTAATTACCATAATAATGTTTATTTATATGAAAAAATGTGAGTAATGTGAGAACTCAAATTCAAGGACAAGGTGTCTATGGAGGTCTAAGTGGACAAGAGTTTAATTTGAAATTAGTCCGAAAAGTCAGGTGGCGCAATTAGTCAGATGGAGCAGCCAGACCAGCACAGTTTAATAACCAAAATAGACAATTCAAAGCTTTGATAACACTCACCATATTAAGATGTGAAATGCACATAGATATAAATGCAAATATAAATGCACATCATGTCCTTTTTAATGAAATCATCATTTTGAAAAAATGTATTTGTCATTGACCCCAGCACATTAAAAGTTTAAAAACCTTTCAATACATAAAATCAGTTTGTTTTTTAAGAAAGGAAACCTTGCTTTGTATCTCTATTAAACTGTAGAGTGGCCAGTAGTGGTAGTGATAAGTACTTAGGGCTACTGAGTGCTAGAAGTGAGCTAGCAAGCAGAGGGTCATGGGTTTAAATCCCAGGACTGATTGGCTAACCCTGTCATGTGCTTGGGCAGGACATTTAATCCTCCAGAGCTCCGGGCAGTGCTGCTCTTTTAGTGATGCTGTACTGCTCCCAAACTGGGCTTAGTCAGGCAGAAAAATGACCAATTTATCATATAAGCAGATTCATAAAGAATAACATAACTTAGCTTACAAAACTCACATTTTTCATTTATTGCTCATGTTTCGGGTTGTTACTGGTTTCTGGATTACTTAATTTTATTATTCATTTTATTAATATTTTTACATAAAGCTGTTGTGTTGTGTTTTCTACACACTGTGTCAGGGACGTGGGAAGAGGGGGTGCTGAGGGGGCTGCAGCAGCCCCTAATTTCAGGACTGCAACTGCTAAAAAACAATAATGCAGACATCTGAAATTTAATAACGTGTGCTTGTTTAGGAGCAGAGTTTGTATTTTCCTATTTTTATTTATATATTTTCAGTAGCTGCACAGTTTAAGTTAATGCTGTATTTTCATTAAAGTGAGCTTAAGCGTTTCCCTCGACAACAGCTGGCCACTTCAGGGTCACTAAAACACATATGTGATGAGGTTTAAAGAGAGAAAGTGTGGAGAGAGAGGCCAGTTCTGAGTCTCAAAGCAGCCTAATACTGTTTTTAAATTGTGTAAAAAGTCATCTAATGTAATAATGTTTTATCAACATTTATTAATCCGTTTGTTGTGCCTTCCAGCGTTAAATCTCACCGTGTGACTGTGGTCATGACACAATCAATTACCACATCACATATCAACAATCTGATTGGTCGCCGCTCGATTCATTTGCATAAAGTTTGTCCAGAATGAAAGAGCAGAATGAAAATGTGCATCAGCGCTCTGATGTGTCAGTTATGTGTATATGTTGTCCTCTCTTGCCTCGTTATATTGCATGATGACACTTTGTTTGATGTAAATTATCAAAAAAACTTATATGGAAAAATAATTTAACTCATATGGCAAATAATTTAGGATGTCATCATCATACAGGTCATGTATATGCTACTTAAAATTTCAGCACCCCCAACTTAAAACACCTTCCCGTGTCTCTGCACTGCGTAGAGCTCCATGTTCTATGTTTCATGCAGTACTCAAGTGGCTTCACATCAGATTTTATGATGTACTGTCAGGTCCACCTGGGCCAACATGCTCATGCGATCGTTTTTTTGTGTTCTCGTGTAGATTTTTGAAAATGCTGTTGGTGCAGACGAGGATTTTTTTCAAAGTAGAGGGAGAAAAAGGTGTTTTCAGAAACATCCTCATACAGAAACGAGGCCTGGGAGAGAGACTGAGTGTTGCTGGGGGTTTCTGCTTGGCCGTCTGCTGTGTGTGTGGGTTTGGTTTGTATTGATGTGGATGCGGTAATCATGAAAGCTTTATTTCAGGGTGTCTTATTTCTGCTTAAGGCAGCAGAAGCTTTGATGAAACAAATAAACAGCAGAAAATCGTAGCATGAAAATTTCTCAGGTTAGGAGCTTTAGAGGATACACACACATGCTCTTATTACAGCAACAGCCTAAAAACATACACTGAGGTAGTTTTTTATATCCTTCTTTAATGCTGTTAACTAATTTATCCCATCCCACCCATAGTAGTGCAGGCTGAAGCCCAGCTGCAGCGCTGTATGTTGCTCTGATAGAATTGTGATTGTAGCCCTCCTGTTCGTGTACAGCGTTTAAATGTTTTTTAAAGCGAAATCTTCCGCACCTTCAGCAACTATGGATGAATCAACAAACAGCAAACTAACAAAAGCAGCAGCTTGGTGGAGCTCCAGTTCCCCTCAAGATCCTCCACTGTAACAAGAACCCACAAGCTGTATGAACGGGGTGAGAGGCCACAATCACAGAGGAGCTGAACCACTGACTGTATAAATGATATATACACTCATTGTCCATTTTATCAGCTCCACTGACCATATAGTTTCACTTTGTAGTTGTACAGTTACAGACTGTTTCTCTGCATACTTTGTTACCCTGTTCTTCAATGGTCAGGACCCTCACAGAGCAGGTACTATTTGGGTGGTGGATCATTCTCAGCACTGCAGTAACACTGACGTGGTGGTGGTGTGTTAGTGTGTGTTGCACTGTTGCGAGTAGATCAGACACAGCAGTGCTGCTGGAGTTTTTAAACACCTCAGTGTCACTGCTGGACAGAGAACCAAAAACATCCAGTCAACAGCGTCCTGTGGGCAGCGTCCGGTGACCACTGATGAAGGTCTAGAGGATGACCAACACAAACGGTGCAGCAGATGAGCTATCGTCTCTGACTTTACATCTACAAGGTGGAGTGTCTAATAGAGTGGACAGTAAGTGGACACAGTGTTTAAAAACTCCAGCAGCACTGCTGTGTCTGATCCACTCGTACCAGCGCAACACACACTAACACACCACCACTACGTCAGTGTTACTGAGTGCTGGGAATGATCCACCACCCAAATAATACCTGCTCTGTGGGGGTCCTGTGGGGGTCCTGATCATTGAAGAACAGGGTAACAAAGTATGCAGAGAAACAGATGGACTACAGTCTGTAACTGTAGAACTACAGAGTGAAACTATTTGGTCAGTGGAGCTGATAGAGTGGACGATTACGAGTGTAGATACAAAGTAAGTGAATGAATATGCGTATCCAAGTTTTTGCTACTGTGGGTCTGTCTCTTCACTAAAGCCTGCCACAAACACAAAGACAACACCCTCATTTATTGTGTAAATGATGCTCTAACAGCTCCATACATTAAAAGACTCCAGTCAAATCAAAGCAGACAGACCTGCAGTAAAGCTTTCTGAGAAAAGAAGCTCTATAATTAGGAGCTCCAAACAGTTCTCCCCCCCGACACCGAAACATCACTATTAACAGCTCCAAATAAGGACATAATCTCCATCCAGCCAATTACGCCTCAACGATGAACCAAATTACATTTTAAAGAAGCAGTAAAACACAGTAGCCATGAGGGAGTTAGCCGATAATGAAGAAAAAGAAAAACAAAAAGAAAGAAAGGAATACAGAAATTAAAATAGAATAGCTCACATTCAACCGCCCTTCATCTGGTGAGTGTTTCTGGCTGCGTTCGTGTTCTAAATCCCGCTTAAAGGGTTGTTTTACTTCTTTTAAATCACAGATTTAAAGGAATAGAAGAGTCAAATTTACAGAGTTTGCCTCTTACCCCAAATGTGGCTACATGCTTGGCGTCTGAAGCACGGTACTAACTGCACGCCTTAATCTTCAAACAGTGTGGAGGTATTCAGTATCTCTAATAGACTGTGTGGTTTCTGATGCTGTATGACTCACTGTTATCCATAAAGCAGGGCTGTAGTGTAGATTTCTGTGGTCAAAATCTTTAAAGGTTCTCTGGTACCAGTGACAATATTACAGGGTAAAGGTGCTGTTTCTTTGCATTTTAATCACTTTGTCCACCTTAAATAAATAAATGAGATTGACAAAGCTATCTGTACATCATCAGTTTTCACCTGATGCTATCAACATGGCAAAGTTTACCTGGATGTCATGCAAAAAGGCCCATAAAGACTTTAACACAGCATTAGCTTGCAACCTTTCCAATAGGCTCCTATAGGCTAATAACTAAATAGCAAGCAGTGGAAAAAGTTCACCATGGTAAAGAAAACAAAGCTTAAAACTGGATTAAAAATGACAAGAACATCACAATCTACTGCTACTGCTGTAACTCTGGCTAATTAGCCTTTACCTGCTGGGACATGTTGGCTGCAGTAACTAACGTTGCGAGGTAAACAATTGTGTGCTGTGTTTAATATTCAAAAAATGCTTTTAACTATAATGAAGTTGGCTAGCTGGTGGTGGCTAAAACAGTAGCAATAAATGTGGTTGAAGGCAAAGCACAGACAAAATTCAGGCTTCAAGACTGTTTTTAGCTATGCTAACATAGCAAAGAGAAAAACTGTAAATTTGAGCTTTCGTTGATCCTTCAAGTCAGACAAAATATATAAAAATGCTGTTTCTCTTTCTTTACAGGAGTCCGAAGAGGCCATGAGGTGTTGCTATAATTTTCTGGATTGTTATCTTGAGATAACGAGCTAATTGTCATGTGATCAAGATAATAACTGTTATTTTGAGATCACAAGATAATTTACTCATTCTCTCAAGATAACAACTTTTTGATGTTGAGATAACAACTCTCTCAAAATAACAATCCAGAAAATTAAAACTACCTCATGGCCTCTCCAGACATCCGTGTTGAATCCACAGATGCCCAAACCAGATTTGAGCATTGAGCCAGTTTTAGTTGAAGCCGAACAACCAAACTGATTAAATCTTGGTTTTTGACCATCATATTCGCCTGTTTGTCAATCTTTTCCTTGCAGCAGCGAAATTACTAGCTACTCTAAGCAATGACATAGTTATACTATGGCAAAAATATCCTTAATTTCATGTCAATTTCATGTTTTTCTTATATATCAATTCTCATTTAAGACTGCAGGGCAGTCACTGGGAGAAACAAATCAAACTGAGGTGGTCAGCAGCCTAACGAAACCACAGAGTGACTGAATACTTGGTTATGTTCTTGGTGCTCATTGTTGGGGTGGTGCTGTGCAGTGACCAAAAATGACCAATTCCCCTTGTACATATATCAATAAAGTACACTTCAAAGTATAAAATCAGACACAATCGACAAGACAAAAGCAACACTCACCCCGAAAGTGTCCTCTTCCGGCCGGTGTGTGACTGCGATGGTGGGCGTCAGACTCGGACTCACTGGAGAATGAAGGGAGGGGTGAACTGTGAATATGACAGAAACATGCAGTGTGTGGTAGACTTTAAATCTACTAATGTGGGTCGAGTGCAGGGAGATTAGTTTGTGTTTCAGCAGCGGTGAATAAAGGCTAATACTGGCTTCATGTGCTGCCGGAAATGAGCCATTAATGCTGTGTTCTACAGTAGCTACTGTCGGATGAGCTTTACAGAACACTAGCAAAAACCTATTCAGCCTAATGAGAAACTGTAGAACAGACTCGGTTTATATCACAATACCTACATTTAGAGTCGGTTATTCATTCAGCCTAATGAGAAACTGTAGAACAGACTCAGTTTATATCACAATACCTACATTTAGAGTCGGTTATTCATTCAGCCTAATGAGAAACTGTAGAACAGACTCGGTTTATATCACAATACCTACATTTAGAGCCGGTTATTCATTCAGCCTAATGAGAAACTGTAGAACAGACTCGGTTTATATCACAATACCTACATTTAGAGTCGGTTATTCATTCAACCTAATGAGAAACTGTAGAACAGACTCGGTTTATATCACAATACCTACATTTAGAGTCGGTTATTCATTCAGCCTAATGAGAAACTGTAAAACAGACTCAGTTTATATCACAATACCTACATTTAGAGTCGGTTATTCATTCAACCTAATGGGAAACTGTAGAACAGACTCAGTTTATACCACAATACCTACATTTAGAGTCGGTTATTCATTCAGCCTAATGAGAAACTGTAGAACAGACTCGGTTTATATCACAATACCTACATTTAGAGTCGGTTATTCATTCAGCCTAATGAGAAACTGTAGAACAGACTCAGTTTATATGAAACTGATACTGAACAGAATGGATTTTCATAGCATTGTATTATATTATAATGTACTGTATAGTATATTATTGAATAGTACTGTATATTATTTTATTGTGTGTCATTATATTGAATCGTACAGGATAACAAGTATTGTGCTGTATACACACTTAAAATAGAACCATAAACACTCAGAGAACCCTTTGCGAGATTAATGGGTTCTTTGCATCGTGAAAGAGTTGTTCAGATTGGTTGAGAATGTGCTTCAGATGGTTCTATACAGAACCTTTTTGAAAAGGGTTCTTGTATTGTTACAAGCATCGTTCTGAGGAAGGAGAATTTATACACAAGCCATTACAGTCTAAACTGCGCATGCATAAACGGCTTCATGCATTATTTGTTTAAACTACAAAATGGCAAAGCTGATGATTAATATAAGAGAACTGCATGCATCAAACAATTAAGAGATGCACTCACCATATTCCCCATAATCATCTGGGAAGAAACAGAAAAGGCCCTTTCAGTTTATGATATTACCAGCAATACATCACTCTTAGTACACAAGGCCCCAAAAGACTCCTAACAATCCATTTCAACATGTCACATTAGCAGCCTTTTAACACGCCGCTGAACGCTTAGAGCACTTTCTGAGTAAATGCCTCTTGCAGTAATGACAAGTGGTCAAGCCTAAGATGCGGATCGATCTGTATAAGATACTGACCCCTGCCTGTATTCGAGCTTAAAAACAAACCACAATGCACATAGTATAGTCTTCTGAATGGTATTAATATTAGTAGCATTTATATACACCAAGTCGAATGGCCACTTTATCAGAAACCCTTTACGGCCAGTGAGTAGAAACACAAAACAAGTGTTTCTAATAAAGTGGCCAGTTAGTGGATGTTCAAGGCAGGTGTTTCTAATAAAGTGGCCAGAGAGTGGAAGCACAAGGTAGGTGTTTCTAATAAAGTGCCCAGTGAGCAGGAGCACAAGGTAGGTGTTTCTAATAAAGTGGCCAGTGAGTGGATGTACCAAGTAGGTGTTTCTAATAAAGTGGCCAGTTAGTGGACGTACAAGGTACAACGAGAGGAAGCACAAGGTTAGTGTCTCTAATAGATACACAGATATGTAGTAATCCAATGCCTGCAGTGCCATACAGTGCACTTACGTAATATTATAATGCACTGTATAATAGTGAGGTCGAGCAGGTGAGGGAGGTGAGGGAGGTAAAGGCTTCCAGAAAGATCATCACGTGTTCCTGCTCCAGCTGTAGCATCACCCAGAGCAGCGTGATCTTTCAGAGCGCGAGTCTGAGTCTATATTTATCTACAAACCTGTCACACTCTCACCTTTAGTGTTAAGGAACTATTCTTATACAACTCAGCTCTGCTTTAGTCCGCAGTCTGCTCAGAGTCAAACCCCTCCTCACACTCTTCAAATGGCACATCCACCAAAATTCAGAAATTCTACCCACTTAGCTTACAGCACTGCATGGTTAGCCTGTGTGCTGAACAGTGTTTTGGCAGCTTGTGAGGAAGCAGTTCAAAATGAATTATTATTATTATTATTATTATTATTATTATTACTACTTCAGCAATGACAATTGTTATTTAGATATTAGTCAAGACAGGGTGTATGGAGTCACATGCAGCAATTTTTGCCAATCCGATTGAATACATTCTGATTTTAGATTCAGACTGAGGTGTTTATTCTCACTCTACTCAACAATCTGATGGAAAACCTCTGTTTACATGCTCACTACAAGTACTGTGATGCAAAATTACATGCATGCATAGAGAACCACTTGGTGTAGATGTTACCATGACAACCAGCATCACGTGAGTCCAGTCTGAGTGAGATGAGCAGCAGTGAGCAGTGCTTGTGTTTTTGATTGCTTTAAAATGATGTCAGACTCAGGAAAACGTCCTTCACATGTCCTTATTAAAGAAGGCCGAGAGGAAGACGTCGTGTTCTGAGACACATAAGCTGGACGTCCGTCCCACCGCCGTCTTTTAAAGATCAGAGCATAAACTTCGTCTCCTCTGCAGACCAGTTTCTGCTCCGCCATGTTGAACGGTATAAACTCTCGCTATGACGCGACAAACATGATCAGAACGGACTTAAACTTTCCAATAGGGAATGTAATCAGATACAGGCGTTTACACGAATATTATTCTTCTATTTAATGGATTATTTACAGGATTACCCACCTCGATCAGTCGGATAGAGACTGTATTCCAAATGGCCTCGATTGGACTAGACTATTCCGATTGAGGTGTATACATGGATGCATTCTATGCCGATTGAGCGATTAGTCAGATTATTAATAGTTTATTAGGCTACATGTAAACATGGCTAATGTACCTTAAATAATAAATAATTGCAATTGAATATGGTTCCCTAACTAAAAGTACTGAAGATGTACCCTTGAGGGTATCACCACAGTGACAGTTTAGTATATTTTTCTGAGGGAGTACCCCACAGCAGGCTTCTCTAAGTAGGAAAACACATCTGGGAATGATAAATGTATTCTTTAAGCCTTACCTGAGAATGGCGCCCCCATGAAGTGGGCGTACACCGTCTTGCTGGTCGTGCCCAGTGCATTTCGGGCCTCCAGTGTGTAGTTTCCGTTGTTGTGGTGCGTCGGGTCCTTAAACACCAGACAGCCCTCCAGATAGTCCTGATAAACCTCCATCTCTGTGCGTACGTACTCAGACTGAGTCAGCTCGCCGTCTCTGTAGATCCAGCGCAGCGTGGGGAGGGGGTGCCCCCGCACCGTGAACATCATACAGGTGTCATGCCATTTCTCTGGCTCCCCAAACCGCACGATGGTGGGTGGGACTGCAGAGGGGGTCCAAACAGAAAGACAAATGAATAAATCAATACATACATACATAAATACATACATACATAGATACATATCTTTTTATATAACACCTTAAATCTTAACCTTTGTATGAGGGCCCACATTTCAGTTCCTCACATTCATAACTACAGAACTTTACACCTTAGTTTAGTTACAAACTGTTAAAAATGTATTTTCACTATCAAAGTACTGTAAAACTTATTGGCCTATTCCCATTTTTTTAAAGAGCAAGTATGTAAGTAAGTTTATTGTATGTAAATAATCCATATAGGTACTATATTTTAACACTGGTCTTACTTAGGGAAATAGAATGTAAATTAAAATATATATATATATATCACCTTTATTTCACAGACATTCTGACAGAGTTTCTGACAGTTGTTACAGTACTTCTAGGAGATTCAATGACTGTAATTTTGCAGATTTTTACCAACATTAAGAAAATATCACTGCTGCCAGAACAAAACCTTGTATCTCCTTTTTTGGCGTTTTTCAGTTTTTGACATCATTTGAAAATACCTGTTGCCCTTTACATTGTGTGTAAATTTCACAATGAATTGACCACAAAAACTGACCCAAAATGACTTGGGGGGGGGTGGGGGGGGGGTGATTGGGTGGGATGTTCCATTTACTTACATTAAGAGCAAAGTATTTTTTTTCCTTCTCCTGTAAAATTCTCATTTTGGAGATACAAGATTTTGCTCCGAGAACAGTGATATACTGTGATATATGCTGTTAATTAAGTTTTATCCGATACCCCTGCTGTCAGACTTTTTACCGTTTCTTTACGGATTTTGTTTTACAGTGCAGGACACTATTGTCTCTTTCTTTGTAAAAAGTTGTTGAGCTGCTAGCGAGCAATTATGGGTGAAAGGGGAGGGGTGAGAACCCCCTGCTGTGAAAATCAATGCACACCTGTTCACAACAACGGCCTTGCCCAGATAAAATGGACAGCTGAAGCTTTCTTCATATCAAACAGTCCTGCACACTTGAGTAAAAGTATTATGATCTGAAAATAACGAGGAGAGCACAAATCCATCAAGATTTGACTCAAGTACACGTACAACCTTATTTCCAAAAAAGTTGCAACACTGTGCAAAATGCAAAAAATATTGTTTAAACCCTATATATAATTGAAAATAGTTCAAAGACAAGATTTCAAATGTTGAAACTGAGAAATTTTATTGTTTTTCTGAAAATATATGCCCATTTAGAATTTGATGCCAACAACACCTTCCAAAAAAGTTGGGACGGGGGCCTGTTTACCACTGTGTTTCATCACCTCTTCTTTTAACAGCACTCTGTAAGCGTCTGGGAACTGAGGAGACACTGCTGTAGTTTAGAAAGTGAAATGTTTTCCTGTTCTTGTTTGATGCAGATTTCAGCTGCTCATCAGTTCAGCGTCTCCTTTGTTGTATTTTTCATTTTATAATGGGCCAAATGTTATCAGTGGTGACAGGTCTGGACTGCAGGCAGGTCAGTTTAGCACCTGGACTCTTTTAATATGGAGCAATGCTGTTGTAATACATGCAGAATGTCGTTTAGCATTGTCTTGCTGAAATAAACAGGCCTTCTCTGAAAAAGACGTTGTCTGGATGGCGGCAATATGTGGCTCCAAAACCTGTAAATATGGTTTAGCATTAATGATGCCTTCACAGATGTGCACATCACCCATGCCACGTGCACTAATGCCCCTCTATACCATCACAGATGCTGGCTTTTGAATTGTGCACTTATAACAAGCCAGATTGTCCCTCTCCTCTTTAGGTAGTGTCCATGATTTCCAAGAAGAAATTTTACAATTTCTCTGTTTCAAGATTTGATATGTTTGTATTTGTACTATTTTTAATTAAATATAGGGTTTAAATGATTTGCACATCATTGCAATGTGTTTTTAGTTACATTTTGCACAGCAACTTTTCTGGAAACCAGGTTGTACTTGAGTGAATGTAACTAGTTACTACCCACCTCTGCTCACCTATGAATATGGACGTCCAGTTTTGAAGACCATAAATATTTCCATCAAAATATATTCCATCAAAGTTACCAGAGAAAAAAAAAAAAATGGAATAGCTCAACTGCGGGAGTGCACTCTATGACTACTGTGAAAAAGGTGTTTCACAGCTTATGGAACATCTGTACAACACCCTGCAGACTTCATCATCATTTCACACACTTCAGCTACCACCTACACACTTCTACATCTCCCTACACGTCTCTGTATCATCTCAGTGAATTCTTCAACATTACCTAGACTTTCACAGCCTCCCATAGCATGTCTACATCACCTTACAGACCTCTACATCAGCCTAGAGACCCCCTCATCATCTCAGAGACCTCTCTACTGGATGCACCACACTCTTAATCTCTACTGGTTGGACGGATGAACAATCCACTGGATGAATGGTCAGCTTGGGTACTTGGTCGACCTCATCTGCAGCCCGAAAAGCCTCTGGCTGACCAGCTGAGCGTCTGACATATACACACAGTGGTTTGGGTGAGTGCACATAAGATGAGGTGAAGGGGATAAATCAGAAGCACGAATAACTGCTGCCCATAAACGAGTGCACCGTTTAACTCCCATCTGCTCATCATGTGTCAGCAGCTCACTGTCCACAATTACACTGCTGTAAACGTGTCGCACTTCAGACACATAAAACATCCATCAGGGAGCAGATCTGCAGCTCATTCACCTTAAACGTCCAATTAGACGTGTCGCTCAGCCACTGCTAGGATTAGCATAACTAAGAAGTCACAGTTATTACCATGTTGTATATATATATATTCTATATATAATATATATTGACCTAATTAAATATATAAATACAAATTTATCTTTAAATGCACTGTAAAAATGGTGTTTTGTCAAGTAAAATTATCTTAAATATAGTCAATAAATCTAATATTTCTCCTGTTGAGATTGTTATAAGCTTAATTTTAGATTATTTCACCTATTTCTAGACAATTTTTACTTGTTCTAAGTGATTTTATTAGGTAAATCCATCTCACTATGTTGGCAGATAATTTTACTTGTAAGAAATTTGCTTGAAACCCGTACAGATACTCGATATAGATGTGATTGTTGCTAGGAAGATTTATAAAAAACCTAAAGAAATTGAGATTTGAAGTCACCAAGGGGAGAAAAAGGTCAACGCCTCTATCATCTTAATGTCATATCTATCAGTCATAGAAAAAATGCTCTCGCTCTACTAATCACTGCGGATGGAATCCCAAAAAGAGTCAGTTCTTCGATTCCAGGTATGTGGGAATCTGTTGACTCCAGAGCTTTGGACTCCACAGAGAGATGCTCAGTCGAACATGCAACCAAGTGTAAGATGCAACTTTTCAACCGCACACATATTAATACATCAGCTGGGTTTTATCTTGGATGGAGTGGAAAACAAAGTAAAATGTTAGTTCTTTTTATAAGAAGTGGTTTATGTGCTATATGTTTGTGTATCTCTGGTAAAAACAAACCAATTTGTGTGAAAAAAGTGTTGATTTTGTGGATCAACAATAGAGAAAATGTGTGTAGAATCGAGTCTTGGAAGTGACTCCACTGATTCCAATTGGAAACTATATTTATCTCAAATGAATAACAACCCTTTAAGGTGATAGAAATGTGTCTATTTCTGCAGTTTAATGAGCTTTTTTCTGTTAATAATGTGATTTATCAGCGTTATTGTTGCATTTATCGCCAAAATTTTGCAGACTTCTATTTAGTTTGTCTCACAAATTGCTTTTCTTGAGATGTAAATGACTTAATAGGAATACGTCATAAATCTATCAACACTCATCAACATTTATCAATGCTCTGATAAAACTCTGCGTACTTGGCGATGTGCTACATAGGCTTGTCTTGCTATGTTTTGTCAGCTATTTTTCTTAGTATATCCTCTGTTTAAGACTAGACTACATCACTGGTCCAAGCTCCTCACTGCACAGGCCCAATCCCATCTTACCCCTCACTCCTACCACTTAGCCCTACGCCTCCGTTTTGTGTGTCCACGTCCAGGGGTAGGGTGTCTTGATTTTTGTTGAGACAGAGGGGTAGGCTGGACTGTTAGGGCTATATGGCCCTCCAAATGGAGGTATTTCAGAGAAAAAAGAAAAATCGGTAAGATGGCTGAACAAAAAACCAAAGAAACCCACAAATGTAAAATTTTCTCTGTTAATAAATTACGATAATCATTGTATTATCTTAGTTTAATGTCGTTTCAGTGTATTATGATCCTTTTCTTCATAACAAGCATAAAAAAAATCACTAGTAGTGTGCTGTCTCGGTTGCTAGCTAGCCAAATTTCCTATCCCACCTTAAATGGTGCACCATTTAAGGTGGAATGTGAAAATTTAAACGAGAAGCTGGTGAATATCTGATTTCAGCTTCATATCACTGAAGAATTAGGGGTGGTTGATAATAAATAATTGCCCCCCTCTTTGAAGGCATATGATGCCCTAAATGTAACTAAAGCCCAGCAGTGAGGAGCTGAACTTTACCCTCCTCTGCTGTCACTGCAGACTGGCAGGGTCGCCTACAGAGCAGCGCTGGTAGCTGTTAATGAAGTGATGCTCTTTTTATTTGAGGGTCCAAATTCAAGGAAGATTTCAACCACTACCCTGTAACTCAGTTCCAAGGGGTTAGGGTGACACTCGAAAACAAGGGGCAGGGGTAAAAAGAGGAAATGGGATTGGGCCTTGGTATTGAAACACCGACTGGCAAATACAGAGATATGCGACACACTGGCCGATCCATATTGTGAGAAAATGTGCTAAATGTTCACTTTTTCCCACACAGACACAATCCCCAAAGACAGCCTTTGTGCGGCGGAGGTCCAGGAGGTGGAGATCATGTGTGATTTAGGAAATTCACTTGTGTGCAGTGACAGGGTCATGCTGACTCTGGCTCATAAATCAGGCTGAAACCTCAATAGCCCCTTCATAGACAACCCAAGAGAGACAGAGAGAAAGAAAGAGACTGATTCATTCTCTGCCTCTTTTTTCCTCAGTATTTGCAACTCTCAGCAAATCTTTCCCAGTCAATAGATATTGAGTGTGGAGAGAATTATATTACATCAGTGTTGGACAACACCATTCCCCATAAATGTAAATACAGCTTCCACAGAGCCGCGTCGCATTACCCTGTAATTGTATCCAGCCGATGGAAACGCTGCGGTCTAATAAAGACACGTCTGATTGCCTGTTTCATACCGAGCGGTACACTGGGCCTGGAAAGCCACCGGGGTTTGATTTCAGACCTTTGATTGCTGCTGTGTGGCATATAATCCTTAATCGTTTTCTTACATTAGCATGTTTGTAAAAATCATGGACTCACTGTGGCTGAAATGATTTTCTGTTGAATCGCTGTGGAGTAATCAGTCTCAAAATGTGCAAAACACTGAAGAGGAACTGGCAAAACAACAACAACAACAACAACAACAACAACAACGCAGCAGCTTTATCTGCATACACTGACCACTGATGCCACAGTACAAACGTCAGTGGAGTTGATGAACACTTCACCATAAATGCAGATGCAAACAATACAAACCAACATCCATTCTAATCTTAAAGACAACTCAAAGACTTTCGCCCACTGGTGGATTAGAGTAGATTAGTGGGTCACTGTTACAGAATAAGGTGAAAGAAAGAAATACAGGGGAAATATTATCAATAAATAAATTATTTTAATTTATTATGAAAAATGCATGGCATATAAACTTATGTACTTATGTATTTTGAGAAAAAAAGAAGATAGTGGAAAGAACGAGGCCAGAGGATATTTATTTATTGATTGGTCAATTGGCTAATTTTTACCCACCAATGTAGTTCGAGTGTGTTGTTGTATTGTCTGGCGTGGTGAATTGAAATAAAAAAAAAATACCTTACAAAAACAACATTTACAAAAAAAAAAAGAAGAAAAAAATTCAAACAACTTTCATTTCCTTCTTACTTCTTCATTGTGTTTCGTCTTTCATTCATTTATTCTTTCAGTAACACTTTCTATGAATGTCACCTTTGTAAGCATCTATAAACACATTTATAACATGTTATAATGTATTCATAAGGCATTATAAACATGGTTATAAATATTTATAAAAATAAATTATACTGAATTACACTTTATAGCCATGTTTATTATACATTATGAATTGTTTATATAATGCATTATAAGTAGTGTTAATAACATGTTATAATGTCAGTAACAAAGAAGTCAGCCCCAGCTTGGAGAGCGTAAAGTAAAGACAAATACCAAGCTAACGGTGGTGAACATTACCTTTCCCACACTGGGTAAAACACTGATGGCAGCTCTAGTTTAAACTCTGACATTTGAACCCTGTAATGTGCTTTACTGTGAATGTTTTAGTGTTTCAGTAAATCCTTCAGTAAATACTTCAACTTGAAGCCTCACTCTGAACACTGGAGGAGGCTTTAGTACAGTACGCTTCACTTTACTTAGAGCGGACAAATACAACTTATGAGCTCTTATAACTTGTTATGATCAGTACTTATAACGTATTATGTTAACAATTCATAATGCATAATAAACATGGCTATAATGTATAATGCATTTTTATAAATATTTATAGCTATGTTTATAATGTCTTATGAATGCATTATAACATGTTATAACATGTGATGTGCTAACAGTGAAAAAGGGATCTTTTGTAAGGCATCTTTCTACTTAAAACCAAATTTGATTAGACAATTCATTTTTATCCAAACAAAGACAAGAAAACAAGACAAAAAAAACAAAACAAAAAAAAAACTTTTGTAACTTTGAGGACTTGTGGTCCTCACAAGGCACTTCAAAAAGGATTACAACAACAAACAACAAACAAACAAACAAACAGGTTGTAGCATGAAAAAAACATGAGAGTTTATCATGGAGCAACACCCTGAGTGGCCAAATGGACCATTTTCAACATTCTTCTGCATGTACAGAGTCCCTCAGCGAGGCGGAAAGTAATCAGCGGCATTATGCGACACAGTGTTGTGATAAATCTGTATAATCTTTCTCTCTCGGGCTCCGCTCGCCTTTCTGAGCATGAAATCTCTCTCCGAGTCCAGACAGAGGAGCCCCCGCTCACCGATCGGTAAAAAACACAACTGACTTTTCTCCTAAACTGCAGGGCAGTCTTACAGTCCAGCCTCACTAAAGCAGCACTGGCTTACTAAGATAGCTAGTGTGCTAGCTAATTAAGTAAAGGTCTGCTATTTCTCTCTGTTTCTCTCTTTCACTTCACCAAGATGTTTATTTGTTCTTTTTTAGGACTTTTTTCATTCAGCCTAATGAGAAACTGTAGAACAGACTCAGTTTATATCACAATACCTACATTTAGAGTTGGTTATTCATTCAGCCTAATGAGAAACTGTAGAACAGACTCAGTTTATATCACAATACCTACATTTAGAGCAGTTATTCATTCAGCCTAATGAGAAACTGTAGAACAGACTCAGTTTATATCACAATACCTACATTTAGAGTCAGTTATTCATTCAGCCTAATGAGAAACTGTAGAACAGACTCAGTTTATATCACAATACCTACATTTAGAGTCAGTTATTCATTCAGCCTAATGAGAAACTGTAGAACAGACTCAGTTTATATCACAATACCTACATTTAGAGCCATTTTTTAATATAAATTATTCAGCATCTAATATGAAAGTCATGAGAGTGTAGCTCTGCAGTTATGAGAGTGAGGAAAACTCAATTTTGTGTTTGTATGGAGATATTTCGTTTGGACATCCTGAATGCTGAAAAGTGCTCCTCATCCTTTCAAAACTGTTTCTGTCAAAAAAAAGCTAGAAAAGAAAAGAAAAGAAAAGAAAAGAAAAGAAAAGAAAGAAAAAACATATGCAAAGAAAAATCACTTACACTGCACAGACAGTGTGACAGAAGCATTGGTCATCCCCACCACGTTCTCAGCAATGCAGGTCAGCATGAAGAAATTGTCATCTCGACTGACGTTGAACAGACTTAGTTTGATGGAGTGGACATTCGGAGGATACTGAATGGCCTAGAGAAGAAAATATGTTCCACTCACTGGCCACTATATTAGAAACACCCCAAAATATCCAGCAATGAGCAGCTCTGTGGTCAGAAACTGACGAAGGACTAGTTGATGGCTAACACAAACTGTACATCGACATCTGTGTAACTGTACACCAGCAATGTTTTGTATGAGACACATTATATCATTATCAATATATTTTACACTATAGCATATATATTACATTAGGGGTGAGAATACATGTTCTGAAAATAAGTGTCTATGAGATCCAAAGTGTCTACTGTACCAAGATCTCTAAAAA